AGCAATAATGGTGGCAAGGATAAAAATGAAGTACTCATTAACCGGCTATGGCGAGCACGTGGGTAACCTCATACAGTGTTGTGCAAAAAAAATTAATTTATATTTTAAAAATTCAGAATCAAATCATTTTATAAAAGTGATTCAATTATTTAATTTATTTTTATAAAATAAATCAATTCAATTTTTAAAAAAATTGATTCGTTTATAAATATAAAATAATTGATTCGGTTACTTGAATTTTAAAAAATTGGACCCTTCAACATAGCCGAAGAGATAGTACATTGACTAACTAGAGTGTGGTGGGGAAGCACACAGCGTAATAAGAATCGTTTGTGGCCACGAGAAATCGAGAATGTACTGTTTTTTATTTTATTTTAAATATGTTTTTAATTTCTTAAATTTAAAATAAATTTATTTTTATATTCTTAAATTTAAAATTATTATTTTTAGTCTTTATAATTTTTTAAACAAATTATTTTAATTTATATATTTAAATTTTGTTAAAAAATTTATTAAATATTATTGTATAAAATTTACTTATTGATATTCTTATTAGTAAAAATATTATGTTAAATCTAATTGATATTTGTTCTGGCCAAAGGGTGGACTAGGGTTTCTTCCTAGGTTAAGCCTTACAGCCAGAACATTCAAAAGTGTAATCTGCCGTCTTAACTCTAGGGTTTTAGGTTTTATACTTTTCTGTTCATGGGCCACCTAGGCCTTGTGAGCGCGAGGATTTCCATAACGATTTTCCTTGGGAATATTTGATTATCAAAGATAGGCTTTTCATCCTTGATTCTCGAACCAGTCCAAATGAGACCCACTCGGACTTTGGCCGACCATACCCTAGCCGAGCTCATCATGGCCGAGCACACCCTAGCCGATCTCACCATGACCGAGCACACCCTGACCACCGATCTCACCATGACCGAGCACACCCTGACCAATCTCACCATGGTCGAGCACAGTCTGGCCGATCTCACCATGGCCGAGCGCACCCTGGCCGACCATACCCAGGCCGAGCTCGTCCAGGGGGTGGGTGAGATCGCGGTCCGACTGATCTTACCCATGTGAGAGGTTAGATCGCCTGCCGACCGAGAAGACTCATATTCAAGATTCATCGGATCAAAACCTGTAAAGGGTATCAGATCGGGATCCGACTGTGACAGTACAATATTGTATAATCATCTTAATTTTTCACTTTTAGATATATTATTCATCTTAATTTTTCACTTTTAGATATATTATTGGTGATTTGAAAGACTAAAAATGATATTTTTTTTTATAAATTTCAGAAAAACAAAACAATTATTTAAAAATAATTTTATTACATTTAATAAATAAAAAAATTGGGGGGCGCCATGCCCCTCCAAATCCTCCCTCTCCCCACCCTGGTCACTTGTTGACATGCAAGATTACTTACGTAAATAAATTGAGTTAGTGCTGTTATACAATTAAGTTTGATGTTATGTTTCAACAACTAAAGTCCACGTAAGTTTGGATAAAACAATTAAACTAAATTATTTTTTGAAACTACACGAACCAAATTTTTTTCTAAATTTAAATAACCAAAGAAAACCTTACTTAAGCACTATCAAACATTATCTTTAAATTACAAACATTATCCTCAAATATAGGAATGACAATAACATGCGAAAAAGCCGGCAGTACTATCTAGGGGGTGAGTATACGGACCACTCTGCCCTGTTTAAGACCCGTCTATAAAATCTGCGTTTTATACGGGCCGGGTAAGTTCGGTCCGTAAAATAAATGAGCTTATTTTTTAAGTCCGTATCTGGCCAGTCAAAATCCGCGGATAACGGACCGGTCCGCGGGCCTAAATAATAGTTTAAAAAATAAATTTTTAAAAAATAAAAATACATAAAATTAGAAGATTTTTTTTTAAATAATAGTACCAAACTTTCAATAATAAAAATATCAAAATGTCATAAAAATAATTCAAATGACAAATACATACCAACTAAACATAATTTTAATGTCATAATAATTAAAAAAATTAAATACACAACTTAATATTAAAATCGTAATATTTAAAATATTAATTAGTGAAGTCTGCGGATTAGTCCGCGAGCCCGTAAATTAAATCTACTAAGTCTGCGGACCTAACGGGCCAGACTAAAAAAATAAACATAATCATACAAATTTGAAAAAAACGGGTCTGTTATCCGTAAAATCCGTGGGCTTACGGACCGGTCCGCGGACCCAGATCCATCTACCCACCCCTAGTAGTATTTGACAATATGTTCTGTGTAGTGTATATTTATTTAGTCAATATCCATAAGTTTTTATATATTCATACGTATTTATGAGTATTCATAAATATATGTTAAAATTTAAAATTTATAAATAAAATTAAAAATAAATAAACTTAAAGTAAATAATTTTAAAATATTTATATTAAAAAGTATTTTGTAACATAAATTGTATTAAAATAAATAAATATGACATATATATATATATATAAATATATATATAGTTAAAATTAATAAAATCAAATTATTTTATATATAATTAAAAATACTTTTAAAGCAAGAATACCATTGATTAATTACAAGTGAACTGTCATTCAACTTCAAAAAGCACCCAACTGATTTTCCATCCGCCAAATGTGTGTGTACAGAGAGTGAAACCAATGTGTAAATAAAAATATGTTTAGCTGTCTTTACTAAAGAAAAAAAATATATCTTTTTTATTTTTATTTTTATAGTCTTATTTATTTTATTTTTTTAATCTCTATAATTTAAAATAGGTCTTTTTTTATGTTTATCTTTTTCAATATTTTTTTATCTATATAGTTTAAAATAAATATTTTTGTCTTTATGCTTATAATTTTTTTTAATCTTTTTAGTTTTTATCATTAATTATTTTTTAATGTTGTCCTTTTTTATTACGTGATTGATGTCTTTAATTTTGTGAATATAAAAAAAGTATTTCAATAAAGAGTGTAGTAAATAAGGGTAAAAAAGATGAATAAAGTATCAAAAGACAAATTTAGAATAATTTTAACAAAATAAATTTGACATCAAATATACAAATTTGTCTCTCTTAAAAAAAAAAGTTTCCTGTTTATCTATTTTATTATTATTTACTTTAACAAGTTTTATTTATGTGTCATTTATTTTAACATTTTATTAAATAAATTAAGGATATAGGATTTTGTGGAATTATCAACCTCGAGTTTCATTTATGTACCAATAAATGAAATTATATTTCAAAATTATTTAGTCCTTAATATCATTTTGTGGTCAAAAATACATATTGTCCAGCATGGAGAAAAAATATGCACATAATGTAACTACCCACTTTCTTCCAAATGCTATAGGTAACTGCATACATCACTCGTTACTTTATTTATTTATTTATTTATTTTTAAGTTTTTCAAATCTCAATATTTTTTTCTCTCAAAACCTATAATATATATATATATATATAGAGAGAGGGGGGGGGGG